TTTTTTTTTTTTCAAATTGAATAATGGGTCTCAAATAATTTCATTCCGTCTCTCCTCAACCACTCATCAAAATAATATCACACCCCCACACTCCACATGTTTCGATTCTTTCATATTCTGTTACTCACTTTCTCTCTCTACGCGTAGTATGTGATTCTTTGTTCATTCTGTAATTGGAAAAATTCGCCGGTGGAAAAGCACGACATGTATTCATGCCACACCTCCGCCGTGTTGGTTAGCCCCAAAACTTGTTTATTCCTGCGCAGAAATCGATTCTTTTTCGGCAGGCCCGTTAAATTCAGGTGTGTCCTGGGGCCGGTTGTGCCGAAATTCGTGGTCTCGGCGTCCTTGAGCTCCGTTCTCACTTCCGGCAACATGATCGCGGCGGCGGCTGCCGGCTCGGGCTCCGTTCATGGAGCCGTGTCTTCGGCTATCACACAAGTGGCTGTGACTGCAGTGGCGATTGCCTCTGGTGCTTGTCTCTCCACGAAGGTGGACTTTTTATGGCCTAAAGCTGACGAGCAACCAGGTCAGAGTATTTGCCATAATTTCAGTTTTATAGTTGTACTTCATGTATTCTCTTTTGCTTGTAAAAAGTTAGCTTGGGCTCTTTTACCCTGTTTAGTCCTGGATCATGGTAGTATTGGGTCACTAACCTAAGAATATGCAGCAACAAATTTGAGAGTTCTATTCGCATACTGGACACTAATATTGAATATGCTGAAATGGTGGAGATGAGACAATGAGCAACATTTAGAACCATCATGTTATTTGATTGTGATATATATTTAGAAACAAACTTCTTAGACACATGGTTATATAAACTATTGTGAATTCTCTATCCAAGTGTTTGGAGTTTGCTGAATGGATCGAGTTCATTAGACGTTTTGTGAACTAAGTTACATTCAAAATTCTTTTGTGCCACAGTATTCATTCTGATGAAGCAAGTACAGTACATTTGGTGCAGGATATCGTGTTCTGGATGGAGTAGAGGTGACTGGGTATCCGATATTTGACGATGGAAAGGTTTACCATCTATACTTGTACATATTTGCAATCAATGTGATCCGTTACAGTAATGCTACTAAGACTCTAAATCTGTGAAGGCAGGTGCAGAAGGCAATTGCTTTTGCTAGGAAAGCTCATCATGGACAGACAAGAAAGACAGGAGATTCATACTTATCTCATTGTATTCACACGGGAAAAATATTGGCTGCTTTAGTTCCACCAAGTGGTAAAAGAGTATGTAATTTCCTCCTTTTGGTAACTCACGCCTTTTGAACTCTGATGTCATCTTTCTTGATGATACAGTCTGTTGTATCTACTAATGCAGCATTGATAAGTTAAGATGTGACTTACATTTGTCTGATGTGAAAGAATTTGGAAGTTATTTCATGAAAAGCAAATTCATCAATTCAATACAATTATATTTGAGACACGCTTTGTCATATTCGTGTTTGTGTTTATTAATATATCTTTGCTTGGTTACCTTCTGACGTTGAAAATGACCTTATGTAGGCTATTGATACAGTTGTATCTGGAATCCTGCATGATGTAATAGATGACACTTGTGAAAATTTAGAAAGCATTGAGCGTGAGTTTGATGCGGATGTTGCAAAGTTGGTTGCTGGAGTCTCTAGACTAAGTTACATTAATCAGGTATAATGTTATCATTTGAACTCACATTCCAAAATTCCCCGCTTTGTGAAATCAAGGTATCATATTGGTAAAACTTCCAATCATGGCAGAATTTAGACCTGGAGGACTAGCCAATTGTATTCTGATGTCACAATATTGACAATCAAATTGTTATTATTCTTATTATATTTCTTTTATTTTATTTTTTGTTTTTTTTTTATAAAGTAGCCTGCATCGGTTAAACATTTATAAATGGCTGTGCTGTTTAGTTACTTCGCAGGCACCGCAGGATGAATACGACTCAAGTTACATTCAGCCATGAAGAGGTACACATGCCTTCTTATCATATCTTAAAGGGTTACTCTACAGATGGTTGACTTTGTAATTGCTCCCTCGGAGCCACTTTGTGCATGCTGGAAGCTATCTTTTCCTGTCAATGTGTTCATCTTGTAGAATATGCCATAACTAATGCCAATACCATGGTCCAAGAGAAAATGAAGGATGTTTGTAGATATTGTTTAGAACTTGACTTTTCATAACATGTAACGTAGAATGTTGTAATATCACGAGATGATATCTTTTATAGTTTAACCTTGTAGCAGTATAACACCCCATGCAATAGATGTCTGTTAATAAACAAAAAGCACTTCAAAATTAATAAAACAAAAAAAACAAAATAAAAGTTTTTATTTTAAATTTTCAAACCTATCACCTATAAGATCAGATTATAAAGGTAGATATAATTGTTTTTTAATTTATATAATCTATATGGATGTTAAATCGAAAATGGTCGAAAGATGATTAATTTGATATATCACATATAAAAAACTGATAACAAATAATAAATTTATTAAACTGTAAAGTTTAAATTTATTCATAATTTAAGTTGGCCATATATTTGATTATTTTCAAAGTCTTAATGGACATGGATGAGAGTCCTGGCCTACATAGATTACTCAGAAACACAATAAATTGACATTTAAGATTAAGATGCACCAATAATTGGCACAATAGATTACAAAGCAACAAAAGTTATCACTTACACTTGGAAAACTCTGCATTTACACCTAGGGAGGAATGTGGATGTAACTTTCTGATGCTTCAAGTATTTTATGAGTAGCAGGTTGAGCACATCTGCTTCCCCACAGTTTTTGACTTAGAGCATCTACATTGGTTAACTTTTTTTCCATTCATTCAATAAAAAAATTACACTCTCATATCCACATCATCAACACGTCATCTTCCACTAATTCTCTCTCCATTTAAACACACACCCACATCCCTTTTAACAATAAAAAAGATATAAATAAAAGCAAAACAAAAGCAAGCTGCAGAAAAAAAAAAAAAAAAAAAAAAAAAAAAAAAAAAAAAAAAGAAAAAAAAAAAAAAAAAAAAAAGGCAAAAGAGCCGTTAAGAGTATTGAACGGTAGAAAAGGCACCAGTCATTAATGAAGGACTGCATTGGTTGAATGGGGACATGTGCATTTAAATGAGGTGCATTAACGGGCCAATGTGGATGCCCTTAATGGATAGTTTTAGTGGAGTTATATTTATCAATTGCATGGTATTCCTACTACTGCAATTTTCTTTCCTCGTTTTCTTTTGGTTTGTCATCATTGGAAAAGATTATGCTAGACAATATGGAGCTGGTAAATAAGGTGCTATTCTTTAGATAATGGTTAACACTATTTTTTTTTTTTTAATTGAATAATCATCCACATCTCACGATGATTTTTCTGATTAGGCAAATAAATTAAGAGCAATGCTGCTAGGCATGGTTGATGATCCACGTGTTGTTCTCATAAAGCTTGCAGATCGCCTTCATAATATGAGAACAATGTACTTACTCCAGGACTTGCTTTTTGTTCTTTTCCCCCTCCTATATGCATATATTTTGCTTTAGTTGTTATACTGGAATAGATTTTTATCCTTTCACGCTACAATTATCTCTTTAAACACAGATTTAGTTAAATAATGACACAATGGTTATGGACATTTTATAGCTATGCCCTACCGCCTAGCAAAGCTCAAGCTGTGGCTGAAGAGACATTAGCTATTTGGTGTTCACTTGCTTCAAGGCTGGGTTTGTGGGCTCTTAAAGCTGAACTTGAAGATTTGTGCTTTGCAGTACTTCAGGTCTGCCTTGGTTCATTATCTTCAAATTGCAATCATTATTGGAGAGAAAAAAATGTGACGTAGATATATGGCATTGTCAATCAGATTTAAAGGATGTTTATTGCTATCCTCTGTAGCCTAAAGTATTTCGCCAGCTGCGAGCGGACCTTGCTTCCATGTGGAGCCTTAATACAAAGCCAGGCAATCTGAGAAGAATATCTGCAAAGTCAAATGCTAGTATACAATTCCAAGAATGTGAAGAAACTGATGGACTGGATGACGAATACACAAGCATGAAGGTTATGGTCTCGAATGTTCATACTAACGTAGATCTTTAGAGAGCTGTTTATTTTTAGCATTTGTTTTTGGACCTTCAGTCAAGTAGTTGCCAGGATATTGTGATTTACAATCATCTATATCTTGTCACTTCCAATTCTGAACATCTTCTAGCTGCATGGCTCCATTATCTTAAATTTTTTATGGATATTTGATCTAAACTTATTGATTGGAACTTGATTATGACAAGGTATTCAAAATTTTCTGCATGTGAAACTTACATTCGTTTTAAGGCTTGTTCATTTTCAACTGCGCCGGCATCATAGATATTTTCAATCCTTGTCAATTTGCAGGTTCTTCTGCAAGCAGTCCATCCATTTGATCTCTTATTGGATAGAAAAAAACGTCTAGCTTTTTTTAACAATCTTGCAACATGCTCGGATACTTCTAAAAAACCAAAGGTTGTGAGGGATGCTGCCGTTGCGTTGGCATCACTAGTAGTTTGTGAGGAAGCTCTGGAGCGGGAATTATTTATCTCAACCTCGTATGTTTTCCATGACCATTGAAATAATTGAAATTCCTGTGAATCTACTTTTAGCCAGGTGTGTTTGAGGCGGTCTGTCATTTGCCTTGATATCCACCTTTTATATTGCCAGTTATGTTCCAGGCATGGAAGTGACTCTATCCGGGCGCCTAAAAAGCTTGTATAGCATCTACAGTAAGGTATGGGTCGAGTTGTAGGTCTTAAGTATTGTGCCACACAAAATAAAATAACCATCATGGCATAATCCATTATGAGGAGGTTAGAGATGGAAGCTTGCAATTATTACTTCTCAATTGTAATTTACAAGTGGCCGAAGATGTCTTGAATAGAAAATATTCCCCCCTATATATTAATTCAGAACGCGCTGAGGCTACGTGGCTGCTTCTGGTGCTTCGGAATCCTATGTGTCAAAATTACATGCTTCGTTATTAGGCTTGGATAAATTTTAATTTAATTCCAAACCAAAAATAATTAGGTTCGGATTACCATAAATATGTTGATTATTTATGGTCATGTTACATGTATTAATTACATTTTAATATCATTCCTTATTATAACTATTGAATTGTATATATATTTTAAAGTTAATAATTTTTTGTATTTTTTATCAGTTTTACATATGTAATATATCAAATTAATCTTCTTTTGATAAGCTTCGATTTAACATCCATATTGTATGTATAAAAAAATAATTTATATTTATCTTTATTACAATAATAAAATTATTTTTAATATTAATTAGGAAAATAAAATTATTTATCAACTAATATATTTATATTTCAAGTAGTTATATGATATAAGTTATAAAAAATAATATAATTTAACACATGTAAGTCATAAGTAACACATATCATTCTAAGTAGTAATATATATTTTTTATATAAAAAAGTAAGCTAAATTTAATATAGTTTTTTCATTAATTTTAAAATTTAAGAATAATATTTTAACAAGTACCCGTGTAATACACGGGTGTTGTACTAGTGAGGAAATATAGTAAAATGCATAGTTTGGCGATTTTGAACCCTCTTCACGGTGTCCGTCTAGACAAACCCTTCAATGGTTTTTGAATAGTTCTTATTCCTGGTTTTAAGTCCTGCATTGTCTTCAGTGATAGTTTATTTAATGGAGGAAGTTATGAAAAATTCAATGATCATTGGTTGTTCCTCCTTGCATTGCTACTTCCTTCTTTCAATGAGAACATTTTCTTTCAACAGCGCATCTCATGGAATTTGAACTCAAACCTCTATGCATCGAATACCTTTGAGTCTTAGCACTGCTAGTTTTAAGTGTTCACTTTATCATAGTCGGCGCTTGACGGAAAACGTAATTTATATTGACTACACTACTCTCCAGATGAAGAGAAAAGAAGTTGGAATCAAGAAAGTATATGATGCCCGTGCATTGAGGGTCATTGTTGGAGACAAGAATGGGGCATTACATGGACAGGCAGTACAATGTTGTTACAATCTACTTAACATCATACACAGGTACTCGTCAATAATGTTGTTGTATTCTGTATGTGGCTACTCGTTTAAATTGAATTATTGCTGTTGATCAAAAGTGATTCCTATTGGGCTGTTTCTTCATTCTCTGCCCAGACTGTGGACCCCTATTGATGGTGAATTTGATGATTATATTGTCAACCCGAAACCAAGTGGCTACCAGGTCAATATTTCCATTACGAGTTCCACTTCAAACTTTACAAGTCTACTGCGGCTTACATGATATTTTTCTAATCTCAGTCGCTTCACACTGCGGTTCAAGGGCCTGATTTCTTTCCTTTGGAAGTTCAACTAAGAACACAGGTAAAATGATATCTCAAAATCTGTCTTCAGGCTGCAAAATCTGTCTTTCACCAATGTTATGATGATTTTTCAATTTTAGCGAATGCACGAGTATGCTGAACATGGACTTGCTGCACATTGGCTTTACAAGGAAACTGAGAATATATTGCCCTCGAATATCTTTCTTAATGATTCTGACGAAAGGGATTCCTCTAGTTACTCTGAGGAAATAGAAAATGAGGCTTCTGTTGGTGCTGACATGTTACTGAAATATAGTTCACTTAAAGTAGGGCATCCAGTTCTCAGAGTGCAAGCTGGCCACTTGCTTGCTGCAGTTATTATCAGGTACATCACAAGTGTTTTTCATACTGTGGTCATAATTTTAAAAAATGGTTAACATGTCAGTTAAATTTGATCCTCCAGAGTAGATAATGATGGTAGAGAATTGCTTGTTGCTGTAAGCTTCGGGCTGGCAGCCTCTGAAGCAGTAGCTGAAAGAAGATCTCCTTATCAATTAAAACGATGGGAAGCTTATGCAAATTTATACAAAAAGGTACTGTTCCAAATTTTGAGACAGTGATTCAGTCAATAAAAAGATGCTTCAGTATTAACTGGGAAAGCGAAGCTCGAGTAATTTAAGAATTTCATTTCTTATGAAACTGAACTTAAAAATGAGTAAAAGTAAATCAAAGTTATTTCTCCTAATGGTTTTTGGTACTGTTGAATTTTCCTTTTGCTGATAAACTGGGGATAATTTGAGTATGTTGGAGAAATTTAGTTAGAGCAGTAGGCTAGCTTTATCATTTTTCTTTTTCTTTTTCATTTCCTATTTCTGTCTCTCTTTCTCTGTTTTCAACCTTGGTATTTGATCCCTCTTATCATATTACAGGTGTCTGACGAATGGTGGTTTGAACCGGGACATGGGGATTGGTGCACCTGCTTGGAGAAGTACACTCTATGCAGAGACGGAATTTACCACAAGGTATCTTAGACACGTGTCACTTTTGCGTTTGTTGTTCTCTTGTATTATAAAAGCTTTTGTGTTTCTTCATTTTTCTTGGTTTCTAAAATGGCAGTTGTATTTGTAAAATTGTTTGTTCTGTTGCTCCATGCAGCAAGATCAATTTCAGCGACTTTTGCCTACCTTCATCCAAGTCATTGAACTGACAGAGTGGGAAGAAGTCGAGTACTGGGCAGTTGTCTCTGCTGTTTTTGAGGGTAAACCCACTGCCCCTCCTGCACCCAATTCAAGCTATGAGAAGACTGGGTTTGCTTCTACTTCAGCTTTGCTGGATACTGGCATCAACAACAAGGTATTTTCATAGCCATCACATTTTTCTGTACCTCAAAGATGAAAATTGCTCTTCCACTTATTGTTGAAGGTTAGGTCCGATCCCTACAATATGATGATAGTATCTTGGTTTAATTACAATACCTATCCCCGAGTCTGGTTTATTACTCCCAAATTAGTAAAATTGGTCTCTCTTAGAAAAAGATTGCTTTCAAAGACTTAGACACATTAATCTTCCAAAATTGCATAGAACCCCTAAGTGTTACAAATGTCCGCTGATTGAATGTGCACGATATAGCAAATGGTAACCTCATCAAAGTTTTAAGAATAACCCCTATCAGTGGTGTATGTACAATTTCAGAAGATTAACAGGAATGCTGTGAGGTCACTGAGGTGTAGTATTCGTAAAATATGCTTATATGTACATATTTATTTATTTATATGGTGAAGTGAATGACAGGTACAACTGCTGAGGACAATGCTACAATGGGAGGAGCAACTGCGATCAGAAGCAGGGCTCGGGCAATTTGGTGCAAACACAAAGTATAGAAATGTGGGTGCAGTTTCTCTAGATGAAGTTGCGGTGGTGTGCTGGCCCCATGGGGAGATAATGAGGCTGAGGACTGGGAGCACTGCTGCTGATGCCGCTAGAAGAATAGGGTTAGATGGGAAAATTGTCTCCATAAATGGGCAGCTAGTGCTGCCTGCCACAGAGTTGAAGGATGGTGATGTGGTTGAGGTCAGACTATAAACCAAGTTCAAAGCTAAATACTTTGAATCGCTCGGCCCAACAAGTATATATAGGTGTAGATTCGAAGAAACTAAAATGTGCCGGTCGAGATTATGTGAGATGAGCTTCAATTTGTGGTGTACTACTGTATAGCAGCATTTCATTTTTTGTGTGTAACTGTACATAGTAAATTTGTAGGGATGATGTAAAAGGACCATTTTCGAGCGTATTTAAATCTTTGAATACTAAATAATTTAACTGCGACAGATCTAAAGCTATATTTATGGTTGATCAGTACGCAAGTCTTCTGTTTATGAAAATATATTAAAGTGTTGTTTTATTTTAAGTTGTTTTATCATTGTATCTAGAGTTGTCACTTTGTTAAAGACAACTTTAGTAATATAGGGTTAGTATATAAATAGGACTCCTGTACATTATTTCCTCACTTTTTCTCAATACAAGTTTTTCTGTTTTCCCTTTTCTCTCTCGTGTGTTTGTATCTTCTGAAAACCCTAGATCTACAAACCTTAATATGGTATCATTCGCCTAAATCGATCCAACTTCTGCTACAATTTCTCTGAAAAACCTTGAGATCTATTGATGCCGATGGCAAATCCGACAGACGATCCTTCATCGCCGTATTTTCTCCATGCGAGTGACAATCCTGGAGCTCTGGTCGTTGCTGAGCCCTTCAATGGCGAAAACTATGTTTCCTGGAGTCGCGCGGTTCTCATGGCGTTCAGTGTAAAAAAAAAGCCGGATTCATTGACGGATCTATTGCCGTTCCTTCTCCGACCGATAACCCTATTCTCTACACTTCTTGGTTGCGTGCGAATAACCTCGTCCTATCATGGCTTTTAAACTCTGTTAACAAAGAAATTTGCCAATCTCTATTGTTTTTCAACTCTGCTCAAGAGGTTTGGGATGAGATTCGCACTCACTATGCCCTCAGCAGTGGACCTAGGGTTTTTCAACTCGAAAAATGCCTAAGTACCATTGATCACGGATCGATGTCTATTACTCAGTATTACACTGTTTTTAAGTCGCTTTGGGAAGAGTATGTGACATATCGCCCTTTGTTTAAGTGTCATTGTGGATCAATTGCCAATTGTACTTGTAACCTGTTTGAATCTCTGTCTATTGCTCAACAAAACGATTCAGTTATGAAATTCCTTGTTGGTTTACATGAATCGTACTCCTCTGTTCGAAGCCACATTCTTCTATCAAAATCTTTACCCTCTCTTTCCAATACATACTCTATTCTCCTCCAAGAGGAAAGCCAACGCAACCTTACTAATACTTCCAAAGTCACTGATTCTCTTGCTATGTTGGCCAAATCATACATCAACCAGAAACATCCAAAATCCTACACAAACAAAGACAACAAAGATAAGAAACGCCTGAAATGCCTCCATTGTGGATACCAGAATCACTCTTCTGATCGTTGTTACCAAGTCATTGGTTATCCTCCTCATTGGCAAGGTCCTAAAGGCCCTAGAGTCCACCCTAATCACTCAGCCAATGCTACTACCACCAGTGACTCACCATCTGAGCACATTAATACTGATTCCCTTACTAACAGTTTGTTTCATGAGTTTCTAGAATTCAAAAAGTCTCAGGAAACAAACTCAACAACAGGAAATACAAAACATACTCCTGTTGTTGCAACTGCATTTGCTGAGGCATCAGGTAAGTTCTCTTTATCCTGTAATGCTTCTTCACAACTTTCTAAATGTTCTTGGGTAATTGACACTGGAGCAACAAATCATATGATATGTGATGCATCTTACTTTACTATGCATGTGTCATCTATCTCTACTAAAATTAATTTACCCAATGATAATCAGACAATGGTATCTAGCATAGGTTCTGTGCATCTCAATTCCAATATCATATTGACTGATGTGCTATATGTTCCTGCATTTACTTTCAATCTCCTTTTAGTGTCCAAACTGGTCTCTACAAACACATGTTATGTTCAATTTATATCTTCAATACAGGACCTCAAAACCCACAACACGATTGGTTTTGCTAAACTGAAAGGAAGTCTCTATCATCTTTCCTCTCATGTGCCTGCACACATTTCTAAACTGGCATTACCTACTGTTAGCCATGTATCCCATTCTGATAACATTGTATCTACTGTTAACCATGTATCCCAATCTGAAAACATTGTACCCTTACATGTTAATACTTCTATATCAAACAATAGCATATGTCATTATAGATTGGGGCACTTATCTTTCAGCAAACTTAAACATTTACCTTTTCCCATTGAGACACCCAATCATGTCATTCCATGTGATGTATGTCATTACTCTTGACAAAAGAAACTACCATTTTCTTTAAGTACTTCTCATTTTGATCATCCATTTGACCTCATTCACTGTGATTTATGGGGACCATTTTCCATTACATCCCATTTTGGTTTCAAATACTTTTTGACAATTGTTGATGATTACAGTAGGGTTACTTGGATTTACCCTCTTGTTCACAAATCAGACACCAAATCACACTTGACACATTTTTACAACATGGTTTCTACTCAATTCAATGCCAAAATTAAAATTCTAAGATATGACAATGGAACTGAGTTTTTTCTTCATGATTTTTATACTACAAATGGAATTTACACCAAACCAGTTGTGTGGAAACTGTTGGATTTTTGTCGTACGAATCAATCGCACACGCAGCGGAATTTAAAAAATTTTATTACCAACAAGAAGATCCAGTTATAGCTATTCGATTTTGATTCTAGATCGCGAGAACTTACAGTTTAAGCTTTGTCTCCATCTATGGTATCCACGCAATCCAGATCCCGATGCACGATCCAACGCAGTGAATCCTTTCTGGTGAAGACGCTAGGAATCCTAAGTCATAAAGCCAAAGAGAGAGAGAGAGATTGCGTTTTTACGGCATATCTCAATTATCTGATCCCTTCAACTGATAAAGAGATACCCACCTTTTTATAATTAGGCCAAACCTAATTATATGGGCTTTAGGATAACATATAGCTCAATAGGTAATTGGACCTAATCCAATTAATGATTTAATTAAGTTTAAGTCCAATTAAACTTAATTATATATTTTCTATCTAATAGAAAATAATCTCATTACTAAAATTAAATATTCAAATCTAATCGAATATTTAACATTCTCGATTCACTCTTAGCCGGAAAATAGATTGCATATTGTGTGACCCTATAGGCCGATAATGACATAAATCTAATTTACGATCCTTACGAAACTCCTAGACTGCGTCGAAGGACGAACTCAAAATATGAAGTACATTTACATAGACAAAGCAAACAAACCTTTAGTGTAGAATTCAATAGTGATACGATCCCTTCATTCACGACCCACTCGATTAAGCTTAGAACTTGAATGTGTGTCTATCCAAACAGCTTAATCATTTTATCTCATCTTACTGGTTGATTTTATCAATTACATTTGAACACTATTTCAAATATAATCATATGCACTGGCCAGTGACTTTATCAACCCAGTATAGAGAAAACGAGTGTTCTCTCGAAACTATATTCGAGGAATGAATCCCATCTTGGCTCAATTACCAATTCCATGTATATCATGATCTACCCAACACAAGCCCGTGTCTACCCATAAGGGCGTAAGCGTTGGACTAGGTCTAAGTAATTCACTCTATACATGAATTGCGTATTGATCTTAAGTCAAAGGACTATTACACCATTCTACACACCGATACTCCCATAGACACATAAACAAATGGTTTATCGGTAGGGTATACCAATACTCTCTAAAGTATCCCAGTGTCCATCACGAATAACAATTATTTATAGTAGTGAGACATACTATATTCTCGAAGAATATGATGCAGACCACATGTCAATCTATAACGTATCATTAATATCCCTTTATTAATGATCATCGATTGAGGCAATTTAAGAGTTATACACTATCGATTAACATCTCACTCTGTTAATGACAATATTAACTCAAGGGAGTAATTAATTAATAAATTGCAAACAATCAAACAATTATTTAATTAATTGCAATACCATAATTATAATCCAATATAATTACTAATGTGATCATGTATATATGTCCTTAAAATGATTGTCTCTAGGACACATATACCAACAATCTCCCACTTGAACTAGAGGCAATCACCAATTTATCTAATACACATTTTCTTAAAATGACTATTGTGCTCAACTATTCACAATGGTTTGGTGAACTAACCATTCAAGTAGTGTTCAGCTTGAACACGTTCTGACTTATTTCTCTTCTATCAATTATCTCTAAATAAATGATAGCGCATTTGTACATGTTTATTTTTGTTGTTGGATCTTGGTTCCTTTGCCCGTGCAATCGCACACGTTTATCATAATATGTAGATATTAGATAAATGGCACTTGGAACTACCCCTAGTTCATTTAAGAACTCATGTATCCAAACAGCCTCCATAGGCTTTTAATGCAACAATGTACTCGACATTTGTGGTTGAATTCACAGTGGTTTACTGCTTGGAACTATTCCAACCCACTGTCTCATCATTGAAACAAATATAAGACTATTTAATTATTGTTCTCACCATAGAACCAAAAATATTTTTTTAGTCCATCTAATGTACTAAAGAATAGTCTTAGCAGTCTTCCAATATACCTCCCTAGGATTTTATTGGAATCTATAGGTGATACTAAGTGCATAAGCCATGTAGACCTCGTACATGTCATAACATGCATGATAGACTCCATCGCATAAGCAAATGTAATCTTCTTCATGCACCCAAGTTTGGCATCAACTGAAAAACAACCTTTCTTTGCTAACTTGATGTCAGATACATTGGAGAAGCACTTCAGTACCTTGACTAAGGACCGTGAAACTCTTAACACTCTATTAGATCTATCTCGATCGATCATAATTTCAAGAGTATAACAGTTTCACTCAAACCCTTCACAATGAAGGTACTTGGTAATCAATCTTTCACGGATTGCATGTGAGGAACATCATTCCATTATCAATATGTCACATACATACAT